TTCAACAGTCTCATAGTGCAGCATCGTAAAAGTTTGTATTTAACAAAAACTAAAGAATATTTCAACAGTCTTTCATAGTTGCAGCATGTAAAAGTTTGTATTTAACAAAAACTAAAATATTCAACAGTCTTCATAGTTGCAGCATGTAAAAGTTTGTATTTAACAAAAACTAAGATATTCAACAGTCTTCATACTTGCAGCATGTAAAAGTTTTGTATTTAGCAAAAACTAAAATATTGAACAGTCTTCATACTTGCAGCATGTAAACGTTTTGTATTTAGCAAAAACTAAAATATTCAACAGTCTTCATAGTTGCAGCATGTAAAAATTTTGTATTTAGCAAAAACTAAAATATTCAACAGTCTTCATATTTGCAGTATGTAAAAGTTTTGTATTTAGCAAAAACTAAAATATTCAACAGTCTTCATACTTGTAGCATGTGAACGTTTTGTATTTAGCAAAAACTAAAATATTCAACAGTATTCATAGTTGCAGCATGTAAATATTTTGTATTTAGCAAAAACTAAAATATTCAACAGTCTTCATACTTGCAGCATGTAATAGTTTGGTATTTAGCAAAAACTAAAATATTCAAAAGTCTTCATACTTACAGCATGTAAACGTTTTGTATTTAGCAAAAACTAAAATATTCAACAGTCTTCATAGTTGCAGCATGTAAAAGTTTTGTATTTAGCAAAAACTAAAATATTCAACAGTTTTCATATTTGCAGCATGTAAAAGTTTTGTATTCGGCCATATTTAATTGTACAACAAAAGTTCTAAACTTTCTTGAAAGTGTAACTATCTTTGTGAGGTTTGACAAATAAAACCCTGTTAATTAAGAAATCAACTAGACATGTAACACAACATGTTAACGTCTGCCGAAGAAAAAAAAAGATTCAAACATGGTTTGTTGAAATCAGTTCATGACCGTTTATTTAACAGAAATAATACAACATGCTGTGGTAGATTTAAAGATAATTTAATTTTACATCGTGACATAAAACTTACATATACATCTAATAAGTTTCTTCCTGGGGTAGAATTATATTACAAAAATAAATGTTAAATTCATTTTTAAGGAGGTAGCTGGCGTAACTTCACTTCAGCTTGGCCGAAAAATTAATTATTGGTTATTTATATTTAATATTTGATTAACGCTCACAATCACAGCATATGCATGAAAACGATTGAACAAATTACAGAAGTCCTTTAAGCGATAAAAAAATCACGTCAAAATTCGCCAAATGTATTGATGATATATATATATTTCCTTATTTTGTACATTTTCTCAACTCGCTTTCTGAGCACACCAACCTGACCAACACTTGCCTAGCACTTTCTCGATAGACATCAGATCCCAAACATTGCAGTTCTATTGAAAGAGAGAGAAATAAATTAATATTTTCCCCTTTTCTTTTACAAGTTACATCCTGTAACTATAGAAAATCAATAAATGTCTTATAACATAATATGGAATTATAAAATTCCTCTCTCTTTATAAATGTATATATTATTGCCAAAGTAGTGAAAACTGACCTATAACATCCATTTAATAATAGTTATGTACAATTCTATTCTTTATTTTATGTAAAAGTTAACTTTATCATCATTTCATTTTATAATAACTCCTAACATAACTTTTCAATGATCAAATAAAACATTCATTTCAATCATTATTTAACATTCTACGACACCGAAGTCAAGAACTTGAGGTGATGAAAACACCAAGTTTGCGTGATCTGAGACGTTATTTTATGTTATTGGAAGATTTGTTTCCAGATGTCGTGTCAGTTTCTGATTGTGAACAGATGTAATAAGTCTTCGTGGTTATTTTTGGCAAAGATCGTGTTATCGTGATTCGTCACAACTGAACAATGCTAGCAATTTATAGCAGGGTGCAGCCACACTTTACGTTTATGGATTTACAGTTTAATAGGAGTAGATCTCATTTTTATGTGAAGTCTGCGTTGTAACTTCAACTTTTTCAATTAATACATTTCCATGTTCTTGTATTCGGTCGTACTTCACAGTTTTAGCATTCATACTATAATAAAGAATATTATTAACCAATCAAAAGGAAATAAGGTAACGTATGTTAGAAGCGGTTATCTGAGATAGAAGCGCGTATAAGACTAAAATGTTTTAACTTTTATTTTTAAGTTCTAAAAGTTAATCAAATAGATACAAAATATTCAATATAACCGGTAATAAACATGCAAGTATCCAATATAACCTGTACAAAACATGCAAATATCCAATATAACCTGTAAAAAACATACAAAAACGTTTTAAACAGGGAAGTGTACTAACGCAACAAAAATAAATATATCTTGCTAAAATAACACAAACATTAGCTTCACATATTGTGAGAATATCTATTAATAAATTTTGCAATTAAATGTTACATGCTTAACATTTATAACATTTGCACTTAAGGGTAAGATAAGCATTGCATAGATATGTATATATAGTCTAAGAATTATATCTTTTTTGAAACTAGATCAAAAGCTATAGTGTATTATGTCTGGAATACAAAGATAAGTTATAGCAGGAAAATCCGTAACTTGTTTCTTAGATACTGAGAAGTTTTCAAATTAAACAAATAGAAGTTTTCAAATTAAACAAGTAGAAGTTTTCAAATTAAACAAATAGAAGTTTTCAAATTAAACAAGTAGAAGTTTCAAATTAAACAAGTAGAAGTTTTCAAATTAAACAAATAGAAGTTTTCAAATTAAACAAATAGAAGTTTTCAAATTAAACAAGTAGAAGTTTTCAAATTAAACAAGTAGAAGTTTTCAAATTAAACAAGTAGAAGTTTTCAAATTAAACAAGTAGAAGTTTTCAAATTAAACAAATAGAAGTTTTCAAATTAAACAAGTAGAAGTTTTCAAATTAAACAAGTAGAAGTTTTCAAATTAAACAAATAGAAATTTTCAAATTAAACAAGTAGAAGTTTTCAAATTAAACAAATAGAAGTTTTCAAATTAAACAAGTAGAAGTTTTTAAATTAAACAAGTAGAAATTTTCAAATTGAAAAATAGAAGTTTTCAAATTAAGCAGCTAAAAAATTTCATTCATTTTTAAAGTTTAATTTTTATATGTACAAAGTTATTCCTGACGTTATTTGATATTAATTATCTTCAAAGAGTACTTGTAATTATTCTAATTTAAAGAATAATAATTACACTAACTTTATTTTGCTATCTTCTTTTTCTACTTTCTTTTAAAATATTTTAATCGAATTCAAGATCTTCTGTTCCAAAAAAAAAAAAAAACTTTGTAAATCTACCAGGTTCGATGAATCTTTTGGAATAATTTTTATAGAAAGTAGACAAGACAAATCTTATATTATAAAATTATACGGATATTTGTATGAAAAAAGGAAAATGTCGCCACGATTAAAATATAATTTCAATCTTCGGTTCTGAAATTAACCTTTAAAAGACAAACAAATATAAAGAATATAAATATATAGCCAACTAAGATGATAGACGCCAATTTCATTTTCCCAGAAGATAAGTACATTTTTTTCCGTAAGGAAAACTCTGCTATTTGCTAAGATCTCTTTTTTTGTCTTTAAAGAAGAGATCGATGTAATAAATTTTGCTGTTCTGTTGTTATTTCGATATGTATATAACATTACGTGTGATTAGTACGAGCCGCACATGGTAACTGACGTGATACATCCACCAAGCTAGAAGTTAACATTATACTAACAATTAATGTGATATGAAGGAATTTCATTTATTTCAATCCGTATCGAGCGTATTATATTCTTCCATTATCATACAAGATTTTGATTGTCACTGCTAAATCTTTCAGAAGATAACGATAGTATCTCAGCTATAATTACAGAACCTACTTATCTTTATGCCAGTAAAAGTGAAGCTTATTTTCTCCTGAGAAATATCATTATATTCTACATTATTTATTGCATGATCACGTAATAAAAGAAGGCATTTTTGTCCAGTTATAGTTCATCGATTATGTTTATATATATGTAGAAAGAGGTGGGGGGAGAAAACGTGAAAGTTGTTGTTCTTGAGTAAAATTTTCCTCTGGAAAACTGCCAGCTGCAAACAACAACAGTTTTAATCCTACCTCAAACAATGAGGCAAATATGATACAGATCTTACGTTTGGACATTAAATATACATTTGTTGAGGTTCGTTTCCATCGATATAGAAGTTCTCGGATAGAAACGATAAAGTTTGTTTACTCAAGTGAACTCAACTGAATAATGTGCAAGATAAAATCTGGTACATCAAGTGAATGAATGCATTTGTTTTTATTAAAATCATAAAATTGTATTTTTAAGCCAAAGAAATATTTCTTAAAACGCAACTCATTAAGATGCAAATCAATCTCAAAGCATATTTTATGTTTACGCTATGGGAAAAATTGGTTATAAGCCACAAAACACTCATATACTGAGCAAATATTAGGTTTTAGTGATTTATATTGAAAAAAAATGTTTTTCTTTAAGGTATGAAGACAAAAATTTCGAAAGGTTTTCACAGACAGAAGCAGTTAAATGAAAGGCTTGGTTAGTAGAGAAAGAACGTCAAATATTAACCAGAAAATATTGGGTGGGTACTAGGAATATGACCAAGGACAGTGATTTTACTTTTTCTGTGCTCGTGTTGCCAATTCTTAGACAAGGAAACGATGGAATTAACTTGATGAGACTTAATTCATAATGTTTAACGATTGGCTCAGACTTGCTAGTTATTAATCCAAGCTTGTTATCTACATCTTTATAATTATAAAGTGTTGATGCCAACTCTGTAGCATTTTTGTTTTCTATTTTATCAAATCATTGCTAAAAAACTCCTTCAAACATGATTTCACTAATTTTCTTTTCAACAGTATAATAAATCTATACTTTCAGAGTTATAATAGGCATTTTTTTTAATGTTCGATGACTCATGAAAAACTGGCTTAGCTAATTTTCAGACAATAGAAGAACGAAGAACGTGAGAAAGAAGACAATTTCCCCAGGTGCTTACAGTACTTGCGGTGGTGCTAAGACGCTGGAACGTCGTTGCTAGTGTGCGTGTGGTCGATAAGAAGGCAGGACGAAAGTTGAAGGCCGCATGCGCAATCATCGGTTAAGACACTCCCCAAGCTCACCGATGTGCTTCACGTTGCCTGGGATACAGAGGAGGAAAGAGATCGATATGGCGGCTAATTCCTACTCGCTCTGTTTACGCATGAATTTCTTTGAGTTTGGAAGAGGTACACAGAAAAATCGATCGTCACTGAACCTGCAAGTAAAAACCAAGGAAATATTTTGAACAATGAACGTGTTATACAAAGTGACATAAGTTTGGAAATGATAAAATCCCCAAATAATGTATACATAAACGGTTTTCTTTACAGTATAAACAAAACAACAATTTGATGTTTTAAAGTAAAAATGCAGAGTAAAAGTTAAATCAAATGAATACACAGATTTAATAAACTTTAGAAATTTCATAAGAACACCATCTTGAAATACTGCAACCCATATTCTTCTGCAATATTTATATAAACAAATACACATATGTGTATAAAAAAATTAGGTTACTCTTCGACTATTTTATTTCGGTTACTTCAGTGTTAACAGAATTTCAGACCAGATGTACTGCATAAGAACAGTCCAAGTTTGTAACCAAAATATAACACGTTTATGCATATTAATAATTGAATCAAATATTTAATATTTAAAAGTGTCGCTTACATCTCCAGCTAAAAGAAATATTTGCGTATCCATGGATTCGGTTGAAATGCACCGTATGGGTAACGATAAACCTAAACACCAAATATTGTTGTTTTATTGTGCTATTTGGTACATGTTTGTTTGTGTTCTCAAATGAGTTGAGATTCAATTATGACGATATTTCATAAAATAAAAGTATGAAAATATGTGCAAATTATAACAAAACAATTAGAAGACAAACAAGAATCCTATTCTTCAAATTATAACAAAACACCTAGAAGACAAACAAGGATTCTATTGTTCCAATTATAACAAAACACCTAGAATACAAACAACGATCCTATTGTTCAAATTATAACAAAACAATTAGAAGACGAACAAGAATCCTATTGTTCAAATTATAGCAAAACACCTAGAAGACAAACAAGGATTCTATTTTTCAAATTATAACAGAACACCTAGAAAACAAACAACGATCCTATTGTTCAAATTATAGCAAAACAATAGGAAGACAAACAAGAATCCTATTGTTCAAATTATAACAAAACACCTAGAAGACAAACAAGGATTCTATTGTTCAAATTATAACAAAACACCTAGAAGACAAACAACGATTTTTTTTGGTGGAAATGTCTTTCAAGTGGAATAAAAATCTCTTGAAGAAAAAGAAATTTAAAAAATTGCTTCTCGGTGTTTTATTTAGTTAGATAAAATTGCCTAGAGATGACCTGAAGTGACCAATAACAAATATTTTATAATATGTTTGTCTGCGCAATCATAATGGTTTAAAATCAAGAGTTTATAATTATGTGCAAATGGATTTGTTTGTTTGTTGAATTTCGCCCAAAGCTACTCGAGAGCTATCTGTGCTATCCTTCCTCATTTTGAGGTGACACATAAGAAGAAAGGCAGCTAGTCAACACCAACTCTTGAATTACTCTTTATGAACGAATAGTGGGATTCACTGTCACATTATAACGCCCCCACGGCTGAAAGGGCGAGCATGTTCGTACAAATGGAAGCTGAAAAGCGGTTTAGAAAACAAGTGCTTAGATTTTATATAATGAATATAGAAACCTCGCATTTGCTGTACGTCGAACTGAAAGATTATAAATTAAAAACAATGTGAAGAAAACACAATGGATCAAATGTGAGATTTCCAGAATACAGTAGCTAACGTATCGCTCTTTTTATACCGATTGTAAACAATAACAGTACAAATAATGTCTAATTACATAATGTAATGTACAATTACATTAGCCACATTTCTACGGTCATTGTCCACAGCCTGCAAAGAAACAGTGATGCTATCAACTGATATGGTAGAGAAAAGGTTTAAATGTATAAGTACTGATAACGTTAAGAAAAAGGGTCAATATATAAATGTATAAGTACTGATAACGTTAAGAAAAATGGTCACTCTATAAATGTATAAGTACTGATAACGTTAAGAAAAAGGGTCAATATATAAATGTGTAAGTACTGATAACGTTAAGAAAAATGGTCACTGTGTAAATGTATAATTACTGAAAACTAAGTGTACACATTTATGTATATAAAGCTACTATATCCTGAGCCTTTTCTCTACCATATCAGTCAATTATGTACATAAAGCTACTATATCCTGCATAGTGACCATTTTTCTTAACGTTATCAGTACTTATACATTTATATAATGACCATTTTTCTTAACGTTATCAGTACTTATACATTTACATAGTGACCCTTTTTTAACGTTATCAGTACTTATACATTTATATAATGACCATTTTTCTTAACGTTATCAGTACTTATACATTTATATAGTGACCATTTTTCTTAACGTTATCAGTACTTATACATTTACATAGTGACCCTTTTCTTAACGTTATCAGTACGTATACATTTAAATAGTGACCCTTTTCTTAACGTTATCAGTACTTATACATTTATATAATGACCATTTTTCTTAACGTTATCAGTACTTATACATTTACACAGTGACCATTTTTCTTAACGTTATCAGTTATTAGTTTCTTTATACACAAATCTTTAGCCAAGACACACACACAGTCTTTCCTAGTGTAACTAGGCAGTTGTGTCGTGTGTGACAATGTGGTTTTTAATATATTATTAACGATTCTTTTAACATTTACCTACATTATGTATACGATTTATGGCAGCAGCTGTGAGGATTCATAAGCCCCTTTTTGGGCTACCTTCTGAACATATTATGCAACTAATTTCTTTTTGTGTGTTATTTCTTCATGGGTGCGCTTATGAAAGTTCTTTGGCTTTGTTACAACCTAGGAATATCTGCGCCTTATCCTAACGTAGAGTATACGTACATCACAGTATATATATGTATATATATCACAGATTTTAAGAACTTGTTCTTTAAATATTGATTCCTTTGCACATTTATTCTTTATGTCTGATGAATAATATTCTTAATTCTTTGTGTGTGGATGGCTATACGTAATTGAATGTATATATACAATTAGCCACTCAATACTTCAGATAAAGTCAGGCATCAGCTGATTGGTTTTCTTCTAAAAAAGATTATCAAAGGAAGGTAGTCAAAAGCTGAAATAAAGCTTGATTACTTTTAGAGCCAATAGCCAAGTAATAACGAATATACGTGCACTGATACGTGGTTATCTCTAGTCTACGGCGCGAAGTTATCAAGTACCAAATCAACAACGGTGGCCTATTTGATTGTATTGGACACACACATATACAAACACCTCTACGATACTGGCGGGTTGCGAATCAAGGAATACGGTGTGTCACATAGCATTAAACAAGCTTCTATCTTACTCTATACACAGTAAATACACACTCCGGTAAATAACACCAGCTATAAAAGTAATACTAGTCCGCAAAGATAATTAATCCAGATTGATTAAGTGCCAGTGTATGTTTAGTGAAGGGTAGGATAACGTGTATAAGTGGAATTTTACCCTTAATAAAACCATGATTCATATTATAAAAATTCATTACTAATTATTACGAACAATATAAAAAAAAGTGTTGTTTCTTTTTTAAATGTTCATTATCCACTCTCATACGACACCCAGTTTCGTCTACTATACACCCATCATGAACAGTTATCATATCAGTCTTATACCATCACTTGGCCGAATAGAGGGCGTAACCCGCTGCTGACGTAACAGTCTCTTGCCTGGAATAAAATCGCGTTTTAACTGACTAACAACGAAAACAAAACTCAAAACTAAATGTCCATTTTACACGTGTGGATATTATTCCGAGTTTAAACTACTCGCGGTGGTTTATCAAAAACAAAAAACATATTTCGAATTTTCAAAATTTTGTGACTAAACAGTCTGAACGATAACGAGACCTACACGGAAAGAGATTCGTTTTTCTTCATTTCTGAATGAATGAAATTATTTCAAATAAAAGTATTGCGAAATGTTCTCTTTTAAAAATAAATTGTCGGGAACTTCTACTCGAAGTAGCTACAGAAACCCGTTAAATTTGAATGAAAAAAAGAAGCATTATTTTTATATTGAATCCTTTCCCAAAACCGTTATAATTTATAACGTGGTCTTAACACTATCTGTCTCCTATCTCATACACCTTAACGATGGCATTTCAATGAAAGAACCACATGGAGATAAGAGAAGCATAATCTCGATTTATTTATGACTGAACTGTACATTCCAGAGCTATCTTTTGGTGATTAGTGTTTCATCTAACAAAAACTACACGACATCGGTAGTTTAAGGCGTCAGTTTTTCGTTCCACTTCTTCAGAGATAACAAGGAAGTACATGTTAGAATGAATTTCACCAAAGTAAATCACACGTGCATGTTAATTGGTCATTTTACACGTACACGGTAATCAGTTTCTTGGTGATTTTATAAAACTTATTATGTGATAACATTAAGCAAAAATAAATTGAGTTCAGTAAACACGTTAAAGAATCTAAATAACTGGTGTGAAAAGTTCTAGCTTTGAGACACGTTTCTAATCTTTTTCTAGACGCTACTGTGAATCACCATTTTACGACTTTCTTAAGAAATTTCGTAGTGACTGGGATAAAAATTACAATGCAGATTAGCCAAATCTTACGCCAGATGTTGCAATCAAAATATTATTATTTACGTAAATTTCTTTGGCTCCAGATGATACAATTTAAAATGTCCTATACCTACATGGGTCATATTTCGGTAATATTTTACCATTCGTGACCCAATAATCTATAAATTACCATTTAGCTAATATTCAGTACAAAGTCAATGATATATCCATGTTTCCTTGTGCCGTTATTTGTAAATTAATTTCTACACCTTTGCCTTGGAAATACTTGCTATGTATTTATATACATGTAAGCCAAATTTGGCCACTTAGGCCTAACTCAAAATGCAAAAATCCGTTAAATAAAACTATAATTTTATACATATCTTTAACACACAGTATTATTCAATAAGTATTATTTAGAGAGTTATCACTCCCAAAAATAATACTTACTATTCACTACCATGTACTGGTCAGAAACCAGAGTCTTGAAGTACTGGTCAGAAACCAGAGTCTTCAAGCAAACATTACCTATATACGTTT